TAATGTAGAAGTCACATTCTATGGATCTTTCTCAATATTTTAAGAGAAATTGGTTTGCTTTCCTCTCTTTGTTTGCTTTGTGATAATATCCAGGCATTAACAAATCAAATGGATTTCTGATTATTTTTCATACTTGTTGCCTAGCATGTGACTTGTTTCTACCCTGAATGCATTGTTCTAGAAAGAGGGAGTTTCAATTCCCCCTCCTCCCCCCCGCTCCCTGCAATCCTTCTGGAATTTTTTTCCTCATACTTTCCTTGCTTGTGAAACCCCTCCTCCCGTGGAATTTCCAGAAACGCTCCTTGGGGTGGGTATGGATATTTCCTGAAACCACACAATGGAAGTTTTATTACATTCTTGCAGGAGAAAGGGTAAAAGCAAGCTTTAACTTATTTAGAAATTCTACTTGACAACTGTCTTGTTCTTGTTACAGTAATGTCAAAATGACTAAATCCACTCGAAATTTCAAATCAAAAACAAAAGTAGAGAAGTTTCCCCGAAAGATCAGCAACATGAAAGGCCGCAGGCAAGAACGTTCCCAGGAGTTTTTGGCCATTTTCAAAAGTGCATTAAAATAGCTTAATTTTGGCGTGTGGGCTTCATTTTACCTGAGAAACATTGCTCTGTAGATTTTTTCGCTGGTTTGCTCTTCATTTTCAAGAAATAACATATGCAAAAAACTCAGTTTTCCTAACAGCATTTTTCGGAGATCTTTCGTTGAATGAAAAACAAAAGAAACCTTTTGTTTTGCTGAACATTGAAGTCACTGAAGCCTTGCATTTGCCACCAGTTGTTCAGACCAATACAAGTTTTACATTTGTGTAGAGTATAGGGTTCACAAGGCCACAACTTTAGTTAAAAAAAAATTACCTGAAGGTGATTTTCTGTCATTATGTATTTAAAAAGAAAACTTTATTACAGAATTAACTTCTCAGTAAATATTTTCTTTTTTTGTAAATTGCACCAAATCTGTGTGGTTATCTAATTTTCAGGGTTGCAAGGATAAGCTGAAGACTCTTCTTAAGGACGCACTGTATGTTGTTGGTGCCATTGGTGTCACTATTGTTGTCATCCAGGTTAGATCAAATGACGTTTTCTCTTTACAACATCAGTATACTGCCAAGAAGACAGGCTGGGAGAATAACGAAAGTTATCAAGTGGGAGAAATTATCTTGATATACATGTACATGTGTACCACCAAAATCTCGAAACTCTCATTAAAATCAATGTGCGGTAATAATTCAGTAACAAGTCCTCGTGTAAAACTTGTCATATAAAAATAACTTGGATTTGCACAACAATGACTGTGCTAGGGAAGTTTATTTTAATATGAATAGTTTGGCGCAAAGACCCATTTTGAAATAGAGGCAAAGATATTTAAGGACCTCTGTTACGGTTTGCACATCTTGAAAAGTTTAGCCTTAATTTTTCATGTTTGTCCTTTGGAATCCATGTTAATGTTCTCCATCATTAACCATCCTTGTTCCTTTATGATTTGAGATTATCTCTGTGCTGTTTTTCTATTTTAGTTAACTATTATGTTCAGGTTTCCTTCAGTCAATTCAAAGGTAATTTTGAAGGTGGCCAAAATAACTAATACCGTGACTGAGCTCCTTTAAATGAAAAAAGGGCTATGAATGTGATGCGACTCACTGAAGATTCTAGCCAGCATGGAGGATGGATGGTGTTTAGAGTGGAATGTCACAATGTTGTAAACCATATTGTCTTGTCTCTTCAGATCTTGGGAATGATATTTGCCTTGGTCTTGATTTGTAAGATTGGAAGTGAAGGGACTTATGCTTAGCATGGAGCACACAAACATCTCTGCTTTAAAACAAAGTAAGTCACTATATTATTATAATTCTATCTTGTCTTAAAAAGAAAGGTTTGTGAAAGTTTTAAAAAAGTTATATCTGTCTTTTTTTCTCCTCAGCTCCTGAGAGTGCTTTTCACCTTCATCTTTATTTGCAAAATTGGGCAGTCTTAAGACTGCAATACCACTGAGGAACCAAATGTTAATTTCATCAATCTGGTTATAGTTTCCTAAATTGATAACTGCTTTTAGTTTCTTCACTGGAGTGGTTTTTATATGACTTTCAAAAACAATTTCACCCTGTTTTATTTGATTCTGTATTTGCATATCTCCCCTAAAAAGGTTTTGGAAGGTCATGCAACAGTCACACCCAGTTTGTTAAGTTCTATGTTGTCAGTTACATCACGTTTTCTATCTTTGCTGCGAGCTAGTAGACACATTTCCCAAGTTTGACACCTTATACTAATGTTCACATTTCGTGTCTCAACTTGTGTTCTGATTGGTTAATGTCATTTCTTTCATCCTTTGTGACTGGCTACTGGCTTATTTCAAACAGTCATCATAAAACCTCTCCATTAAGCACTGGAGTCTTCATCATTTATATGTAAAAAGAAGTTAGGTTTTGTTTCTATTTTGCACCTTTATTAGTGAGATTACGCACTGAACTCTGGTAGGCCAAATTCATTCAGGTACCACTCTATCCCTCTCTCCTGTTGTGTTGCTCTGGAAAATATCTAACCCTCCCCCTCCATGTAAGGTTTCATGGTTTGACCCTACCCCTCTGGCCATGGGATAGTTATGGATATTTTCTGGAACTGCACATTGTTTGGGTCATTGAGCAACAGCCTTGCATGATGATTCAATTGTCTAGTTTGTGTGTAGCTGTGCATTGCATCAGCCCTTGAGTACAATCTTTGATTTGATAAATCTGAAACATTGCTAACTTGGTCTATTTGGCCATTTTTTCGTTTGCATGTTTTAAAGGGGCCATGACACATTATGTGAAAGTGGTTTTGATTTGAACATTTATTCAGCACTGTCTATTATTAGTATATCTACAAGGTGTCTCTTTGTCTGCTAATACTTAATTGAAATAATTACAAAAAAAAAACCAGCCAAATAGTATCAGAGATGGTCATGATTCAACTAAATTGTGCTTGACCAACTTTTTCGAGATGTTGCCTTGGTGATGTGGAACCTTTAATTTGGGCGAGCAAACTTGTTTTTAATCATGATAATAAATATACAATATACTTAGTCCAATTTAAGAAATCCTTTGTTCCTATATGCGCGAGCTGATTTGATGGCAAATGAAGAATAAGTATCTGGTCTTTATTTCCAAGAGATAGAAGACCGGGTGACAAGGCTTAGCAGTTTGGAATTGGACATTTCAGCTCTGTGTCAAAACGAGTGTTCATGTGAAACCATTCATTTGAAATGTGTTTGATCTGCATGTTCATTTTCATGGAAATCAAACTTGTTTTCATAAGGAAAGTTTTGCACGAAGGCTCGCGTTGAAACAGAGGCAAAACTAAAGGCACCTTGGAAATGGTTCCATGTATTTAATCAACAATCGTTCTACTTTTTCATCAACTACCAAGTATAGGTAAATGGGAAATAATAGTAAATCAAGAAGTGTGAAATATTTTAGTCGCTTTTCTTGTTGGTGAGCTTTGCAGCAATTGCATTTATACAGTCTAGTAATTTGTTCTAGTTTTGTAACACGTTAGCATAAGGGTTCGTATTGGTAATAAATTTGTGCGAAAGAACTTGGTCTGTGATTTTGCTTGTTGTAGAAAGTCCTTTTGGTCAGTTGATACTGTCGACCAACATATAGGTCGACAACCTGGTCGATATTCACCCTTATATAATCAGTATAAGCATGTTCGGTGCCATAGGCCAGGGTATGATCTTTGAGCCGTTTTGAAGTTACAAATAGACTCCATGTTGCCTCTCGTCTGTTCAGTTTTATAAAATGAGATCACAAATGACATCAAAATGAAGCAAGAACAAATAAGTGACACGAGCCATTAGCGAGCGTGTCACCGATGTTCTTACCAGACCTTTTTCCGAGAAGGGCTTCGAAAAACCCCGATTTAAAGGACGAAAGATCGCTTTCACGTAGACTCGCTCAGCTTCGGGTGGACGCGTGCAGAACGTACTAAGGTATGGTGTACTTGCATGCCCTCATTAAAGCAATTTCGT